TAACAAAATTACATCTTCCAATATGAAGATTAATCAAAATTTAATCACAAGCACTTGAACTTTTAAGGATTTTAATCAACACAAAAATGATTAAATCCAAAAATTAGTTCAACGTGGAATTTAGAATCAAAGTTCCAACCATTTAAACAATCAAATATTGGACCTTTAATATAGAAGGAACTTTAAAATTTCACATCACAATAAACATTCACACTTTAATGCAATTTATTTGCATGATTGTGAAATAACAAGTTTATGTGAGAAATTGAACAAACCAACTTAAGCACACATTATGACTTCATAACCATGCTTAAAAGGGTTTACAATTGCAGTAGATTAGGGATGTAACCATACATTTAATCTACCCTTAACATGCATACATTAATCAAGGCATAAAGATATCAAAAATTTCGTCAAAAACGAAAAACCCCTCGAAAAACATATTTCTAGGAGGATTTTGGCTTCTGGACAACCCCTAAAAGTTTCAAAAACGATTTAGAACATCGATTCCACCCAAAAATCACAATTTTTGAGTCAAAATCAGGGTTCGACAGCCAAAATAAGAAAAATACGAGTTTTAAAATTAATTAAAACGAGCTTCTAATCAAATTAGAAAGCATAACCAGAAATTTAAATCCATTTTAAATCACCTTAATTAATTACAAATTGCAATAATTAAAAAGAGCGCGGGTCCGATACCGCTGTTGGGTTTCGTAGCATCCAACGCTACGCGGAAGAGAAACCCGCCCAAGACCCGCCCCAATAATAAAAGCAATAAAGCATGCATAAACATAATTAAAAAATAATTAAGAAAAGGGATAAAGAAGTAATGCCCTTGAAGCGTGCATCGCTCGTAAACCGAGCTCTTACTTCGAAGCTTAAAGCCTCACAAGCGTGACGGCCTCCAACGGCTCGTACCCACGACCCGACCCGAACGATCTTCGCCTCAAGGGTTAGTCGAGAGTTGACCAAGTATAAAACTAGAGTTTTACGAAATTAAAGGTTTTTCTCAATAATAATAGATGCCTTTTTGAGTTCCACTCAAGTTGATTTCCAAATGCCCAATCTTGGGGTATTTATAGGGAAATGCAACTTGCTCTTCCCATTCATGATCAATGTGGGATAGTTGCATTTTTCCCTAATTTATTTAATTCCAAAATAAATTATAAAACAATGCAATCACAAATCAACAAGTGGCAAGAAGAGAGGAGAGGTTAGGTGAGGACCATGACCATGGGGGGACCATTGCCTTGCTCCCCAACGCATGGCTCTAAGCCTTTGGTCCCCACCTCTCACAAACCGGCATCAAGCATAGCTGAGCTGGCAGCCAGCTAACACGCTAGCACGCACCAGCTAACACGCACCAGCTAGCACGCCTAGCATATGCGTGCTGCTAGCGAGCCACGCATGATGCTGGCTGCTGGGCGTTGGGCGAGGTATCGCTGTTCGCTGCTTGCTGTTGTACGAGGCTCCTAGCTTGCTGCTCGCTGCTTGCTGCTTGGTGCTGCCATGCGAAGGCATGCACCCAAGAAAGCAAGCACAGTGTTCTGCTGCTACGATGGCATGCACGCACACGCACACACGCACAGGCCTAGCAATGCGATGGTGTTGTGCTATGCGAAGGCACATATGCACGCACACACGCAAGTGCCTAGCAATGCGATGGTGCTGTGCTATACGAAGGCACACACACACGCACACACGCAAGTGCCTAGCAATGCGATGGTGTTGCCATGTGCGTCTAGCACGCAAGGTGTGCCTAGCAATGCGATGGTGCGTCTAGGCTTACGCCTAGCCATGCAAAGTGCATGCTAGCTCGAGCTAGCCTAGCTTCCACATGGATAGGCCAATGCGATGCTACGGCTACACTCGAACTTGTTGCTTGTTGATTTTGCGACGCTCGGTCTAGACGCCCTAGGCTCGATATCCGACGTTTGTGTTTGTAATACTCTAGCAACTCATCAAATCCTTCGGATTGATTCGTCGGTTCTGATCGGCAGTTCGTTTGGGTTCGACCCAAAGGGTTCAGTCAAGACAAAGCTGTAATATTAAATGTTTACTAATATTACAGATCGGAAGCGGCCTCCACTCAGGCATTCCGATCACTTGATCTCACTGAAGAATTAGCTTCCTGATAATTCTGAACCCTCTATTAGAATAATACACTTGTTGGAAGGACACCATTCCTTTCAAAGTGGAACTAGGCACACATACATCCTCATAAAAATAGGCCTCTGTATTTGATCAATATTATCCACATCCACGTTACAGCTACTGCCTTAGTTAAATTTCAGGACAGCTTTCCCATAGTCCCCTATCCTTACATATTGCTCAGCTGCATACCCATAGATGATGAGCTTTGCCCTACACCTAGCTAGCCATGCCTTGAAGTAGCTCATTTTTATCCCCAAATCATTCAATTCCCTCTCCTAAATATGTCTGATCTTCCATATTGGGTTCCTTCTAAATTCTTCCAAGTACCTGTCTACCGGAAATTCAGCAGTATTCTTCTTGTTCATTTTTTTCCTCATACACCTATGCTTCAACCTTAATGTCCTAATCTTCTAAGCCTCTAATTTCACTAAGCTAGCAGCATAGAACTTAAATCTACACTTCACCCTTTCACACATGTACATTTCACCAATTTACAACTTGTTTTGTTGTACACACAGTTGCACCTTCTTCTACAGTAAGTTGTAATCCTTCTACTATCATTGTGAAGCAGGTAATACTCATACCCATTCTCAATTGCATGTTGTCTCAAAGCATTCCTCACCATATGTAGATTGCTGAACCTTTGACCCTCCACAAATTGGATAGGATTATCAAAGTCTATATCAGCATTAAACCAAGTATAAGAACCCTGGTCATCATCTGAGTCACCACCCAAGCTCATGAGTTCATCAAAATCACCCTCAACTTCTTCTTTAATCCTTACTTCAATTGATTTCAAATTAGCATCAATTTCAAAACTAGAATCCTTAGGTTCCTCATCATCCATGTACTCACCCTTTTCACCTACTCCTCTCAAGCAACCATTCACTTCACTTCTGAGGTGCTCTAGATTTTTCCTCAACCACTCCTCGTCATCATCATTTTCATAAAAATCCTTCTCTCCCTCTTCCTAGTCTAAATCAATGTCACTGAGGTTAGAATCTGAAGACTCGGTTTCTCCCACCCTATCCTCAAACTCATCATCAAACAACAACTTCTTCCCTCTGCCTTTCTTTCTAGGTTCTGCACCTCCAGATATAAAAACACCAGCAACTTCCTCAACTAGATTCCTCTTACGGTTTTCTTCTACACTGAACCTACCACAAGCTCCCTGAACTAACTTTCCCTTTCCCTTTTCTTTTGCACTCAGTCTTCCTGCAACTGTTTTAACCCTATAACTCATTTCCTCTGTATCTTTCTCAAGAATCACAATACCTTTTAACCTTGTGCTTCTCCTAACTGAATCTCTAGTGGGCTTACTCAATCTTGGGCTGGTCCTAAGTGTTCTAGGCCCACCCAACTCCTTTCTCAGTTTCTTCCTTTCTTCTAGAGTCAACTCATTACCATCTATCATTTTAAATGGTGTTTTTGTCATTGCCTTGAATTGGCTAATGACTAGTCACATACATCTCTATTGCCCCTTCTTTATTCACTAACTCAAAGAACCCTTTTACCTCAGCACCACTAACCAACTCCCTTTAACCAGTTATCCAATACCTTTCCTTCTGTTTATACCAGCAACTAAAGCCCCTAAGCACAACCACATTAGCATACACAAAGCCATGAACAACTGCCTCCCTCAAAAAGTGTACATCTATCTTAGAGATAGTAACATTTTTCATCCAATAAACCCAACCACCATCCCAAGTTAACACCCTCCTTTTTTTTACAGCTAATGAGGGTATAAATGCACCCCCTAATGTAATTTTAAGGTTCACTTTGACCATTCTGTAATAGTTTAAAAAAAAAACAGACACACCAAATCACAATTTCGGTAATAATTAAATTGCACAATTAGTCAATAAAAAAAAACAGACACACCAGGAAGTTTGAAATGCCTCTCTTTGTCAGGATTCTCGAATCTTTGACAGCAAAGACCCAAGCTTTTCGTCCCCTCCCTATTCAAGATGACGACCTCTTGCTGAGTTGTTGCGATTTTGTGGTGCCACCTCTTCTTCAACTGCCCAGATGCGAAAGAAAGTAAAGGATATGGTGAGAGTTAGGGTTTTACTTTTACATAGAGAAAGAAGATAAATTGAGAGGAGAGAGATGGAATTTTCAAATACTTTAATGGGAGGAAGGTGAGATATTGATTGCAATTGAATTGGGAAAGACAGAAAAGGAAGAGAGAGAGGCAAATCGGATTTTTAGCATTTAATTTGGAGGGAAATGAAAATAAGTGGGACCCATATGACTTTTCCGTCACTGGAGTTGGGTTTTGGTGGGAAAATCCAATCTTATTTTTTTAATGTGGTGGTAAAATAAAACTTTAGATTATGTAGGTGGTAAAAGCAAATAAATCGTTTTTGGAGGTGGTAAAAGTCAAAATTTCCTTTATATATTATATATATATGTATATACATATATATGTATATACATACATATATATATATATATATATATATATATGTATATATGTATGTATATACATATATACATATACATATATACATATATATATATATACATATATATATATATATATATATATATATAGATGTCTAAAGTTGTATAGCTTATTTAAGGTTATAACCCTATGAAAGGATCAAGTTGGTTGCAATATTTAAAGTTGCATTAGGACAAAGTATATGACATTGAATGATAAATGAATTAAAAATTAATGTTGATGTTGATCAAATCTAAAAGGTTTTAAGTTACTTTTTGTGGTTCTTTAAGGTAAAATGAATAATTATGGTGTGATTTTAACGTATAAAGATATTTTAACTTCTTGACGAAAGCATCTAATAAAAGTTACACTAAAACATTTTAATGAACAAAATTTTATATCAAAAACAAGTTTCTAAGATGTTACAAATTTTTATACATTTATCATCACTTAATTTATTCGGAAAATTGACAATGAATTTTAGTCCTAGGTCACCTCGCTTTCCACATTCGTTAGATATAGGGATTCCTTGATCTTGAATAACTTTTTCGTATCCTGGATATATTACGTCGTCGACTCGCAAAAACATTTTTTTCCCTCCTAGTAATGGCAGGGTTATGCTACAACCAACAAGAGCTTTGAGTAGAGAGATTTCAACACCCAACTCTAAGTCATCACCTACTCTTTTAAATAAAGCATGCCTTTTTTCATCTATCAAGAATATGATATCTGCAAGTAAATAGCCTGGTTTTTCATCACCTTTTCCTTCAAATGTTATCGTTGTTCCTTTTCTCCAACCAGGCTTGACATAAATATGTAAAGTTTCCTCTTCTTCAACAATTATTCTGCAAAAAATAATTGATCATCAATAACATTAAGACTTCAATTCTGACATGATTTGACAAAAATAAGGGTGACAAACTATTCAAACTAACGTAATAAATTTATGCAAGTGAAAAAAGGGAAGTTGAGTGTGAGACCCAACTAAAGATAAAAGGTCAAAAGAATATATATTTTTTTTTTTTTTTTTTTTTTACAAAGGGGATGGGATAGGTATATTTAGCCACTCCAAATATGAAGTTGGTAGCTTGTCTATGAAAAATTTGAGACACAACCCCATCCAATTCGACATTTAGCTAGAATTAAATTTGTAAATCGCTAAAATAATACCCATACATTTCTCCTCTATGCTTTTCACTTTTTATATAAATAGTTTACAATTTATGTTGCAAATAAAGTGGAAAAATTTAGTAAGCGTGATTACTCACGATTTTCTTTTTTTATTGGAATACAATTTCATTTTATGATGTAATGTAGTTACAGATAGTGCCTATGGTACTAATAAAATTTTAGTTAGATAATGCATGTAATGCCCCACATTTTCTATTTATTTTGCTAATTTTGTAAAATTGCAATTTCTCTTTGGTAAACAAAAGAGAAACTTAATTTAAATGATAACTCTTTTTTCTTAATTATTATCATTCATAGAATTAATATAGTGATTATGGTCAAAACTTGAAAACATCGTTATTTTCTAGCCGCATTTAATTAATGTTCGGTTAAATTTGCATAAATACCCCTAATTATACATTTACACAACCAAAGAATTCCTATCCTCTAAACCCTGCCCATTGTTCATTCGCATTCGATTCTCAATTCCACCAATTAATCAACTTATATCTTATCGCAATTTGGGAACACCACTGTTGAAGCAAAGAAAAATCAATCCTTTATCAAAGGAACGAACTACTTCACTATTGATGAAGCAAAGGTCGTCTTAGACACCATTCTTATTGCAATTAGCTATAGATCTTCCACCATCTTTGTCCTCTTTGACACCATTGACAACAACACTTTCCACTACCCTCCAATTCAATAAAAACCCTTAATGGTCGAATCCTCATTCTGTCAGCTTAATAAAAGGGAATTCAATTGAACTCAATAATCCTTACAATTATAGTTTTAGGGTTATGGTGCGAAAGGAGGTCAATTGATATATTACATGTAAACTTGATACAAGTTGTGTGAACCATGAGATTAGCTATTTAAACGAGCTAGGCATGTTTAAAAGTGTTATTGAATTATTTATCAAGGAAGGAAGGTATTATTATTTTAGTATGGTTCATAATAATTTATCAATCATGTTTAATTTGGTCCAGTCAAGGAAGGATTATTTTTATGAGTGCTTTTATGCATAAGTTAGTAAAGAAAGAAAGGATTATTTTCTAAGTGTTTTTATGCACCACATGCATGCTTTAATTTTATACATCAAGGTAGTAATAGTGTTATTTTGTGCACATCCAAGGCAAGGATGATTAAATTAAGTAATAAATATGTTGATACTCACTAAATAGTCAAGAAATAAAATTAAAGGTAATTGGATGGTTATTTATTGATTGGTTGTTTTGTGTGTGTGTTTGATCATTAATAATAATATAAGAGGGTACGCACTAAAACTCTTGGAACGTATATATACCAGAGCAGAAAAGCCGAACATATTGGGGGGTGGGTTTATGGAGTTTTATGTTTAACCATGAATTCTATAAAGGGTACAACACATCATACTTTCTTTATCTATTTATGAGTTGAAATTCTGTCATTTTATGAGTTGAAATTCTGTCATTTTATGAGTTGAAATTCTATAAAGGGTACAAGCTCCTTTTCTAAGGTCCCTTATTAAGGGTAAGGTAAAGCAAGGAAACTTACTTGATGTGTTATTCAATTAATACCAAAATAAATGAGAAACTGAATTGAGTTAAGTAAGTGGTGAAGTATCATTGTTTGGAGAAGCAAGATTTTTTTTTGTTTTTATTTATTATATTGCTTAGGAGGATGCATGTTAATTTGTACATTTCCTATTAGTGTGTATGAACTATGTTTTGCTGATTCATATTACTTTGTGTTTGTGGCCTTGTTTTTATCATGGTCAAGCAACAACCCAGTTTTTATCATGCTCATGCAACAACCCAGTAGTGGAGCAATATAAAGAGAAGCTACAGGTAGTGGAAGCATGAGAAGCATGTTGGGATTGAGTTTTGAGAGCTAATTATTATTTTTCTTCCATATTTGTCTTAATTTATATGATTTAACATTTATTTCTTTTAGGGGTGGAAGTAATACAAATATAAATTTTACTTAGAAATATCGCAGACCTACACTATTTGCTTCTCTATGGCTCACCTTAGCCCACTCGAGTATTCAACTAGAGTGTGGATAGGGGGTTGTCCAGGTATGGTGGAGGATGTATTGGCATCCGATTTTTTGCTTAAGCTCTAACTAGGTTAGTTCCCGTGCCACACACGGTAATTTTCAAATTTTTATTGATGTTTAACAATAACTTGTATATATCTTTAGTATGACACAATAATTACTATTTAATTATAAAATTAATTTGTCAAGAAATTAAGAAAACCATTGGACAAATTTTGACTGAAATATATTTTTTTCTTACTATTTCTAACATTTACTAAAATATTATATGGAATATTATACAAAGTATGGTAAATGTAATATAATATTAAAGCAAAAATAAAATAAAAACAATTATGGCTAATAAAGTTGTATATTATGGTTTTATATAGCATAAATTATCTATATTAAATTCAGCTAATGAAAATGTCATATTGTCATATAAGTCAATTATTAGAATAATGTTTGAAATTTAAATAGTACAAAATATATATAATATTTTTGTGATATTATTACTAGATATTTTTATTATAGTATACAATATATATAAAGATACTTAAAATATTAAGTAAGATACGCATTTTTCCAAAAAAAAGAATGAATGTTGTTTTCGTTTATGGAACTTAAAATCAAGCTACAACATTCCTTTTAGATTTAATACTAAATGTAATCTTTTTATTGGTGATTTGAAGATGATACATACATGAATATACATAAACAAACAAGATTTCATTGGTAATAAAAGGAGAGAAAAAAAAAAATAAAAACAAATTGGAGGGAAAACTTTTCACCAGAATATGACAACTGTTATGTCAATATTCGCTTTTAGTATAGGTATATTGATAATAATTAGTCGTCAACCGGCTTTCCCAAAAATAAAAAAAACAGAAAGAAATACGTAGTATCACAAACCTAAACAAAAATGACATAAGAAATTTCGGTTTATTGATTAGATTCGGTTTTTTGATGAGAAATTCGGTTTGGATTTATTGAACCGAATATTAATTTGGTTTATGGATTGGCTTCGTTTTAGAATTAGAAACTCGGTTTTGGTTTGGATTGGATGGACCAAATTTTAATTCGATTCGGAATTAAATTGAACAAATTAAAACCGGATTATTTTGGTTTGATTTTAGTTTCAAACATAATCCAAACTAAACACCAAACTTTCACTCCCTTATTGATTTTTATTATGTTGATTTTGGTTTTTGGGCAACTAATGATTCCTATTTTTAGTAGTTGATTTTGGATTTTTGTATATTAGTTTATTTTATTTTGGAGTTTAGTAATTATTATTGGATTTTCACATTAGGTTTGGAAAGTAGTCTTCTATTGTGTTGTCTTGGATAAAAGGCTTAGCCTTTTATCACAATGATAGTGATACACTATTACTTTGATAGTTTCTTTAGATATTTTGTGGGGAAGGGATTTTAAATTAAGAGAATTATTAGGGTATTATAGATAAATAAGAGGTAAACTTGACATATTTGATTAAAATAAAAATAAATTTGTCACATTTTGTACAAATTAAAAATAAGCAAAAGTAAAATATGAATAGTGAAAAATCCCAAGTAATGCTTTAAAAAAAACAGAAAGAATACTACCATAGTGTACCAATAGAGAGGTACACCCTTGCCCGTGAAGAGTGGTTTATTAAAATGCACTAGCAACAACATTGTTACATCTAAATACACGTTTCTATAATGTAGGAATCTCATGTTACCATATAAGTTTGTATTACACACACAATATTAAGAATGATTCACAAATAAAAAAGTTAACAGAAGTTTAAGATTCATATTGATAACGAAAATTCAATAACATAGTAAGGTATAGAAGACATACCCAGCATCTGAAATAACATCTCTTTTTATCTTTATTTTCTTAGTAGCGCCAAAGCATAATTCTTCTAATGAGCATTCGAGCCTCTTCTCAATTTGATGTGGTTTCTTCCGTGTTTTGGATTGAGAAAATATAATTGGAGTTGTGCTCCTACGACTTGTATTTCTTGATAAGTCACTAGAAACAGTAGTTGTATTTGTATAATTATGACTCTTCAGTTTACTTAAAGTGATATTTGGAGTTTCTACAGGTGATGAGCTTGTTGCACCCATTCTACTTATACTTCTTTTTAAGGAATCTATCATGTCGGCTGATCGACTATAGGTTCTATTTAAGTGAGGTGATGGAGTGTGACTTCTTCTACTATTTGTCCGTGAGAGTAACGAAGGAGATCGTATAAAGAAACTATCATCCATACTGCGTTTATGATGAAAACTTCCTTTTTTTGCAGAAGTTGTTGGAGTATTCCAACTCCCTTCTTGTTTTTTGTCATTAGAATTCTATAAAATCAAAATGTATCAATGGTTAGAATAAATTATATGTAGCTATATTGATGCGTGCATCAATGTGAACGATGAGCATGTTGAAGAATTATTCCAAGAAAGTCAAGAAAGCATGAATCTATACTTGGAAGCTTCTTCAATAGGTCAAACTTACTATCGGGGGCATCAAGACAAAGCCACGCTTTGTATGGTGGCGTTCTTGGGAGTTCTTGAAGCTTCTTGATAGTTCTTTAAGGTTTCTTTAAAAGCTTTCTTAGGTTTTTGCTTACAAGTTTTTACCTTTCACTTGAAAGGGTTTTTCTTGTTTTAAGCACTTAGGATTTCTAATTGCATTAGGAATTGTTTAGTCTAGTAGGCGTCAATAATAGCTTGGAGTGCAAGCTTGAGTTAGGATAAAATAGGCAAGTTTTATCTTAAGAGTAGTTAGAGTTTAAGTAGGATTAAATAACTAAATCAAAGTTATCTAAACTTGATTAAGTTATGCAATCCGTGGGTTTTTGTTAGGGGATTAGAATTCTAATTCAAGTGGGATTAGGATAATTGATTGAGTTTATAAATATAGGGTTGTAATCTTCGAATAATATACAAGTTTAATCATACATTCATAATAATATTTCTTATTGCTTTTGTTTAAGTTGGATTACTTAAATTCTTGATTGGTGGATTCCAATTTGCTGTTTTGTTTGTTTTAGTTAAAACAATCACCTAGGTTGATTAATTAGGTGGATTCTTGATTAATTAATCTAAGTTTCTTGCTTAATTCTTGGTGAATTTTCTGTATAGAATTAGGTTAGATTCATATCTTTGTGAGGCTTAGTTTTCGGACTAAAAATCACATCATCTTGGTATCAGAGCACAGTTTCGGTAGAATTTAAACTGGTGACGTTAGGCTTGGAATTTTTGGCTGAAATTTTGTGGCAAGATTCAGAAAACGTAGATCAACATTGTGTCAAAATTTCGTGTCAATTGGACGCGTAACGAAGTCTGTGCAACCTCAAACTTTTGAGAGTGTTACACAAAGTTGCGATCTGGAGAACGGTTCTTATTTGCTTCAAGAATCAATCAAGATTCAATCTTTTAATCAAGATTTTGCATAAACTAAACCTGGTTTGTGTAGGAGCAATGAGTGACGAAGAAATCCCAGGGATTCCAAGGGGTTTGAACCTTGATCAAGCGCATAACTTGCGGAGGGATCGTCAAATAGAGCGATTGTCACAACAATTGCAAGAAGTATTGGCTAGGCTTGACGAACGTGACAAAACTTCATCTTCAAGGAAGAACAAATCAGTTGCAATTTCTAGTTCAAGTGAAGACGAATATGAAAGGAGAAAAGCAAGTAGATCACGCCATAAAGATTCATCTTCGAGTGATGAACCTAGAAGGCATAGACGGAAGAACAAGGCCAAAGATGATGACCGAAATATAAGGTTAGATTTTCCGGAATTCAATGGTAGTATGCTAGACCCCGAAAAATATTTTGAGTGGGTTAGAAGAGCCGAAACACTCTTTGATTACAAGGAGTATGATGAACGAAAGAGGTGCAAACTTGCTGAATTAAAACTCACAGGTTATGCGAGTTTATGGTATGATAATCTCAAGAAAAAGAGACGCAAGGAGGGACGATCCAAGATCACTACTTGGACACAATTGCAGAAATATATGAAGCGTCAATTTGTGCCCCATGAGTACGTGCAAGAAGTGTATCTCAAGATGCAGACTTTTAAGCAAGGAAATCAATCCGTGGAGGCTTATTTGTGTGAGTTTGAGAAACTATGTTTATTGTGTGATTTAGAAGAAATTCTAGGGCACAAAATAGCACGTTTTATTGCAGGTTTGAACGAAAATGTTCAAGAAAAGATTGAATTGCACGAATACTATTCGTTTGAAGAAGTATGCAAGGCGGCCATTAAGGTTGAAAGACAATTCAAGGCCAAGAAGACCTCAAGTGTGAAACCGTTCACACGCACGTTCACAAAGGCTAGTGACAAGCCTACCTTTGATAGGACTTCTTCTAATCCGTATGCTAAAGATAACAAACCCAGAAACGAAGCTAGCAAGAAGGTGACCGAAGATAGAAAATGTTTCAAATGTGGGAGTGTTGGCCACATAGCAAGCAATTGCTACTCAAAACGCACTATGACGGCTCAAGAATGGGAAGAAGAGAAAGCTAGGTGCGAGGGAAATAGTGACATGGAGGTTGTGGTCGAGAAAGAACGTGATTTTGAAGAAGAGGAGGGTAGTGCCGAAGAGGTTGATGGTGAAACGCAAGGAAAGAGCTTGGTTCTAAGGAGAGCTCTTCACTCTAAACCTATACCCGTTGAAGAGAATCAAAGAGAGAAAATCTTTTTAACAAGGTGCAAGGTGGAAGATCGATTGTGTGACGTAATAATAGACTCGGGAAGTTGCACAAATGTGGTGTCTACAACTTTGATCAACAAATTAGAGTGGCCTACAACCGATCACCCAAAACCTTACAAGCTACATTGGCTCAATGATGCTAGTGACGTGAAGGTAACGAAACGAGCCCTAATCACCTTTTCAATTGGCAAATATCATGATAAAGTTTTATGTGATGTATGCCCTATGGATGCTTGTCATATCTTATTGGGTAGACCATGGCAATATGATAGATTTGTCAAGTTTAATGGTAGGACAAATGTGTATATAATTCGAAAAGGAAAGGGGGAAAAATCATATGCATTGAAACCACTTGTTGATCATAGAATTAACCCTAGTTCAAAAGGTGCATATTTAATTGGGGAAAAGGAGTTGGAGAAAGAGATCAACAACAACAATATAGTATATATTATGGTGGCTAACAATGTGCAAGTGAATGAAAGTAAACAAGAAAAGAGGCCCGTGGAATTAGAAGTAGTATTGCAAGAGTATTGTGATGTTTTTCCTAGTGAATTACCACCGGGATTACCACCAATTCGTGGTATTGAACATCAAATTGATCTTATTCCGGGAGCTCCACTACCTAACAAGGCAGCATATAGAAGTAATCCGGAAGAAACAAAGGAAATGCAACGTCAAATAGAGGAATTGATGCAAAGAGGCTACGTGAAAGAGAGTATGAGCCCATGTGCCGTGCCTACATTGTTAGTTCCAAAAAAAGATGGGAGTTGGCGTATGTGCATTGATAGTAGGAGTGTGAACAACATAACCATCAAGTATAGATTTCCTATACCTAGACTTGATGATTTGTTAGACGAGTTGCATGGTTCAAAGCTATTTTCCAAGATTGATCTTATGAGTGGCTATCATCAAATACGCATGAGGGAAGGAGATGAATGGAAGACGGCTTTCAAGACTAAAGTGGGGTTGTATGAGTGGTTGGTCATGCCTTTTGGTCTAACCAATGCGCCCAGTACATTTATGAGATTGATGAACGAGGTGTTGAAACCATTTCTTGGAAGGTTCGAAGTTGTTTATGGTGTCAATCCAAAAATGCCCATTGATTTAATTGAAATTCCAAAAGGGGAAGTGATTCATAAGGATGCCGAGACTAAAATCAAGTACATGATAAAGCTACACGCACAAGTTAGAGCTAGGATTGAACGTGTCAATGAACTCTACAAAGCACGAGCTAACAAGAACAAAAAGCCACAAAGTTTTGAAGTTGGCGACTTGGTGTGGCTACACTTGAGAAAAGAGAGATTTCCTAACAAACGAAAGAATAAATTGATGCCAAGAAGTGAGGGGCCGTTCAAGATTATTGAGAAGATCAATGAGAATGCATATAAGCTTGAATTGCCGGGAGAATATGGTGTAAGCGCAACATTTAATATTGGGGATTTGGTGAAGTATTTGCCAGATGGTGCTATTGAAGATTTGAGGGCAAATTCTTTTGAAGAAGGGGAGGATGATGCGTGCATCAATGTGAACGATGAGCATGTTGAAGAATTATTCCAAGAAAGTCAAGAAAGCATGAATCTATACTTGGAAGCTTCTTCAATAGGTCAAACTTACTATCGGGGGCATCAAGACAAAGCCACGCTTTGTATGGTGGCGTTCTTGGGAGTTCTTGAAGCTTCTTGATAGTTCTTTAAGGTTTCTTTAAAAGCTTTCTTAGGTTTTTGCTTACAAGTTTTTACCTTTCACTTGAAAGGGTTTTTCTTGTTTTAAGCACTTAGGATTTCTAATTGCATTAGGAATTGTTTAGTCTAGTAGGCGTCAATAATAGCTTGGAGTGCAAGCTTGAGTTAGGATAAAATAGGCAAGTTTTATCTTAAGAGTAGTTAGAGTTTAAGTAGGATTAAATAACTAAATCAAAGTTATCTAAACTTGATTAAGTTATGCAATCCGTGGGTTTTTGTTAGGGGATTAGAATTCTAATTCAAGTGGGATTAGGATAATTGATTGAGTTTATAAATATAGGGTTGTAATCTTCGAATAATATACAAGTTTAATCATACATTCATAATAATATTTCTTATTGCTTTTGTTTAAGTTGGATTACTTAAATTCTTGATTGGTGGATTCCAATTTGCTGTTTTGTTTGTTTTAGTTAAAACAATCACCTAGGTTGATTAATTAGGTGGATTCTTGATTAATTAATCTAAGTTTCTTGCTTAATTCTTGGTGAATTTTCTGTATAGAATTAGGTTAGATTCATATCTTTGTGAGGCTTAGTTTTCGGACTAAAAATCACATCATATATAATCGTATAAAAACTAAATATGCTTGAATATTTTACCTTATAACTTTGAGTGTTATCTTGAAATTTGGAGGAAAAATCATGCTTGAAATTATTTTTATCATGATTCCATTTAATAACAAGGTTTTTGTAAGCCTTGCCAATATCTTTTATGGATGCCGTTTTGTTTTGATGAAGATGGTGAAGAAATTTGAAGAAAGATACGGATTAATTTAAACAAGACAGTTTTGATGAATATGATTAAGAATGTTGGGTAAAGAAGAATGAGGAGAGCATATGTTCAATATCAAGAACAGTTATTTGATTAAAAAAATTTAGAGGTAACCAAAACTAAGAATAATATACAAGCTTTAATTAGATGTTCTCAATTTAAAGACACAAATATCAACCCTCTTTTTAGGAACTGATTATAAGTTATTTTTGGAAAATATTTCATGCCTCCTTCAAAATTAATGGGGATTTTCTAGTGTAAATGAAAAAACAATAAAGGATCCATGCATCAATACAACTAAATATACACCCCCTTTATTTAGAATGTTAAACTACATAGTGCATATATTTGGTTTTGTTAAAACTAATCTTAAATTATTTTTCTTTCCTCTATTACTTTTTCCCTCTCCCTTAAACTTCTCCTTTTATCTTTCTCTCTCTTATTAAAATAACCTCTTTGCTTGTATAGTCATGTAACAGTTCAAAATGGGGGGAATTTTTTGTTGGTAACATAATTAATATATATATATAATTTTACTAATACTTTGCCTGTGCGATGCACGGATTAAACTTTTTGGCTAAATTTAAATTTATTTAAGGATTGTTCTATTGTATTTTAGGGTTGCTGTGGAATTGGGTAAAGCCAAAATTTGTGTATGTATTTAATGAAATAAAATGTATTGCCTCATATGTCATATTTTGAAATACAAATTACATCATAATAGTAACCTAACCGACTTAAGTGCTAGAAACTTTGTTTAACCTTCTTAGACCATCATTTCAAATTTTATGTTCCCTAAATCTAAAATTCTAAAGATAGATGAAGTGATTTTAGTACTTAGATAATACAATGAGCAATTAAATTTTGTATTGCTTTCAAAACAACTTTATTATTATAGACTATGTAACTAACCAAAATTTTTCATATCAAGAAAGTAGTATACAAGAATTAAAAAATTTCTTAGTAATTAGTAAAAATGTAATATGTAATTTCAAAAATTTGATGAAGCTAATTAGATAGAAAGGAAAACTAAAAACATTGCAAATTAAAGAGATATGAAGTATTTGATAAGTATCCCTACAATTTTTTTTATAAAAAAAAACATTGAAAATCCATTTATTATTTTAAAAAAATGACAATAATTGATTTCAAAAACCTATATTATTATAGACTACATAACTAACCAACAATTTTCATATCAATAAAGTAGTATAAGAATTAAAAAAAAAAAATTAGGTTAACCGCTAAAAAAATTTCTTAGTAACTAGCAAAAATGTAATAATAGTATATTATTTGAAAAATTTGATGAAGCTAATTAAATAGAAAGAAAAACCAAAAACATTGAAAATTAAAGTGATACAAAGTATTTGATAAGTATGTATCCTTTTATTCTCCTAGAAATATCTCTACAATTTTACTTTTTATGAAAAACATTGGAAATCCTTTTTTTAAAAAAAAATAAAAAAATTAGATATAATAATGAAAATGCAACAAATATAAGTACATTTGATTAGAAAGATCTATGTTTGTATAATGATACCAAATGACAAAATAATTTTACAGCCTAATTATGACATTTTATGAATTTTTTACAATAACCAATTGTAGAATCAATTCAATGATCGGAACAATTTAGCCTTAAACTCACATGCAACACTACCAAGAAATGATACCATTATTGCTGAAAACTTCAATTAGACTATTGATCTATTTAATCTCCTTTTGTTGTTCCATCGAAGGTGTCGTTCTTGCTTTAAATTTTTCTTATACATCTATAGTGTAATCTTGTTTTAAATAGAAAGTTAATAAAAAAAAATAGAATACATGCATAAAAAATCAATTGGTGAAGCGAAAAGCTAAGGTGAGAGAAACATATTCCAACCTAAATATGATTAAGGGTAGTAAGGAGGGAAGAAAGATTAAATTCATACATAGAATTCAATTGGGAAATCGAGAAATTCATACCAATTTTGAAGGCAAAAATCAAGCTTACTAAAAAATAATTCAATAATAATAATCGGTAATCACCAAATGAAATATATTCCATCTCAAGTGATAATATCACAACAGGTGTGCTGGGCATAAAAAGGCAAGCCGATTTTCAAAGTGATAACAGGTGTGCTGGACATAATAATAAATTATCCAGATTTAAAGTGCTTTCGCTACGTATTATAATCACATAATTAACCTAGTGGTATTAAATCGCATCTCTCGAATCTTGACTTAACCATTTATAAATTAATTCTTCCTATTGAAATTAGGCCTTAATATTAATTCTCATCTGTCGAATCACGAATCAATATTGCGTAACTCATACAATTAAATCCGCGCAAATCTAATTGCATAGCATTAGAACAATCAATAGGAAATTTACTCAAAATATTAACAATCAATAATAATAAATCATCCCTTCATATTATTCATCAATCCCCAGGAACCCTAGAATTAATTACTCGCACATAATTAAATCTAGACTAACCAAAGCAATAAAAATAAGCATATTTAAAACAATAATAATAAAACTAATAAAAAAGCAAATAATAATAAAACAAAACTAAAGACAAGAAAGCAAGAAAAACGTAAAACTTAGTATTGATAATAACAAAAGACAAAAGCATAATAAAAGTGTGACAATAATGGTAAAGCATAAGTATCAAAACTCAAAACTGAAAAAACGTAAATCAAACAAAAGCTTAATTAAAACTAAAAAGACTAAAACTAAGGATTCTAAAGAAAAGCTCCGTAAAAACTATTACTAAAGTCAACTCCCTACAACTAATTCGTGGGTACTACAAAGTATAATCGTCTCCCTCCCAAAACATGATAAAATAATGAGTATGAATAGCTTGCAACTCTTAGCCGACATAAGCAAATCAAGAGCCCACAAATTAACTCTCGCTCGATCGGGAATTGAGCCACCCCATCCGGCTTGCCTTTTTATGCCCAGCACACCTGTTGTGATATTATTTGGGCTTGAGCTCTTAAATCCTTCATTTGCTAGGGAATTGACATAAATATGTAAATTCTTACAAAATAATACCAATTTTATAAAAACACTAAAAAACGTATATTAGTAATAAAAATAGCTCCGCAGAGCTCAAATAAGCACAAATACGACCGTGGGATAGGGAATAAAAATATATATAAAATAGACTCATCAAACTCCCCCAAGCTAAAACCTTTGCTTGTCCTTAAGCAAAGCAATGAAAAAATAAATCAATACTTCACCCCAAATACAAAATAAATAAATAAATACGATTCAAGGCAAATCCGACAAATAAGTATTAAAGTCAAATCAATCAAATCCATCCAATTACCGATCTTCCCTAACAATTATCAAATAGAGCAACCCACAATGGCATATAGATAGAATTCAAGACTAGTGCTCACACTCAACTCTCATTTATATGGCGAGTAAAAGATGTACTCGATCACTCTCCAACCACCTCTTTATATGTGAATAATGCCCTCCCAACTCACAACTCTCGTGTGTTTAAAATTAAAGACATACACTAAACCTAGTAGTTAACTCGAAATATGCCAAATTATTCTTCGCGTTGAAAAACAACTAATTTCACATTCATACAACTCTATGCACAAAGGTCGGAAGGTTTTCAAAGCGTGTAATGTAAGGCTTAGGTAAAGGGTAGGAAATATTAGGGAAAATGTGAGAGCAAAGCCATGCTTAAGGGAGCCAAATCCTAGTAATACCAAGGTCAAAAATAGATTATGACCAATCATCTCCAACATAACTCAACTCAACTCTACAAAAATTCACCAAACAACCAATTCAATATGCCACAAATTCTCCAATATTTACAATTTCAATCATAAAAATTTGATATTAAACACTTGAGTGAACCAAACTTTGAATTCTTTTTTTTCTTTTCAACTTGATTTTTTTCTTTTCTTGAGAAACCTTCAATTAGAACACTTGAACATTGAAACAATTTTTTCTTTTGCTCTCTTTTTTCTTTTTTTTTATCTCACATTGGAATTTTTTCAACTTTTGAACATCTTTTCAATTCTTTTCCAATCATAGCTTTCTTGTGAGACCTATCTCCTTCATTCCCTGGGATCACTTCGCTTGGCTTGCACACTACCCACCCAAATTATGCAAATTATGTGCATATACAACTCCTTTACCTCACTCACTATTAGCTCCCCCAAGCCAAACTTGGGACTAGTAACCAATGGGGCTTAAATAGGCTTGTAAGGTGGCTAAATAAATAATAAGAGGGCACAGGCAACATGGGTAGCAAGAAGGGAACAAATGTATCTAATATTGTCTGAAGGCCAACTAAAGGAACAAATGCCTTCATCCTCCTCAATGTGCATAATAATAAGTCATACAAATATTACAACATGCATAGGTCGGTGGTCGATAGTGAGTGATGGCAGTAGGCCGAAATTCGATGGTTGACAATCACTGTTGACTTGAGCAGGCAAGTAAGAGGGTCGCTTGCCAAAGTTTTAACGGCCGACAATGACTGTTAACTTGAGTAGGGTTATACACCTGACCAAAACTGGATCGGACCGAACCTGAATCGATTAGGTTCGGAACTAAAATTGAGATTTTTTGTGGATTGAAGATCGGACTTGAATTATCTTGTCCCGTTCTGGTCCAAACCTAAAAATCAGGTCCGATCTGGTTTCGGACCTGATTGGACCCGTAATCTTGCTCTTTTTTTAACGCATATTTAGATGCTTCGTACTATGTGATTAAAAACAAAAAAACCACAAAAATCCAACTAAAGTAACTTACTTCATATAAAATTATGTAAACCAACATTTACATTATAATTATTCAAGTATAAAAATGAAATAAAGAGAAGATGGTTTGATTCTACAGGCGTCAAACAACTCCTAAAAAGGGGAACAAAGCACTCCAAACCGACTGTAAACGAACACAAGTATTAAAAATAAATTAACAAGAAAAAAAAAACATAAATTACATCCTAAATTAATGTCAATAAGCAAGAATGAA